AAAAAGAAAAAAAAAAGAAATACTTGACACGAATGAAGGTTTATACAGTCCAGTACTATAGTAAAAATTTCACATAACATTATATTGCATATATAAGAAAATAACCATCACCGGAAGTAAACCAATCAATTGTTCACTCTTTTTTCCTTGTTTACAGTTAAGTAACCAGGTCAACTCGAAGTTTCAAAAATATTTTATTGGAACACCAAATAAAAAAGAATGGTACTCTTGAACACCCAAAATATATGTCTATGACTCAGAAAAGATTTTCTGCAATGAAATGCAGGGTTAATTTCCTACAACTGTAAAGTTCAATGGAATATTTTTTCGACCCTTTTTAGCATGAAACCGAATATGACTAAATTAAATATCGTAGTTAGTCGATATAATAATACGCCAAGATAACAAGCATTCTGAGAGTATTGCATGACAATACATAGTCCCCTACCGGTTAAAAATTCATTGTACTGTAACAAAATGCTAACTTGTTCTATAATTTGTCATGGTGTTAACTTTATAACAAATATCAAGTCAATATCTTCAAGCATGATGAAAAAAAGTGTGGAAAACTGATTATTTAAGTGAATTTTCTATGTCCAAGGACCATAACTCTGCACAAAATCATCAGACCGGAACAAAATTCGAACTTGATCTGTAACTTGTCATGATAAAAATATATATTAATTATCAAATCAATATTTTCAAGCATGATGCAAAAAAGTGCGGAAAACTGATTATTTGAGTGAATTTTCTAAGTCCAAGGACCATAACTCTGCACAAAATCATCAGACCGGAACAAAATTCGAACTTGATCTGTAACTTGTCATGATAAAACAATACACCAAATATTAAATCAATATCTACAAGGACGAAGAAAAAAAGTGTGAAAAACTGGTTTACCGGACTGACGGACAGACAGACAGACAGACAGACAGACAGACAGAGAGAGTGCAAACATAAAGTCCCCTTCGACTTCGTCGGTAGGGGACTAATAACGAGTACGTCTGTGCTGTAATATGAACGTTGTTGAAAACAAATACCATTTTTTTAGTTTGTCCTTTATACAGACCTGTAATTCACATTTACCAAAATAGTACTGTTCTTGAACAAATATCTATAAAGTAGATCAATTGTTAAAAGCTGTCAATAAAAATCTGACTGCAAAACTATGTAATTTTCTGAAAGCAGCATGGACAACAAGATGCTATATTATTTATTAACATTGTATCATGTTTGTTGTTCTCTGCTGTTTAACATTGTGTTATATTTGTAAGATATGCTTTTTTGCAAATAAGTTCATTCATTCATTCATTCATTCATTCAAAGGTATTATTCCGGCAAGCCTTCCAACTGATTTTAGACGGGGGACGATATCTTGTTGCTTAAGAAGGAACTATACAGAATACGTTTAAATGCTTATAAACCATTATTTATATGGCATCGTAATGCATCAAACCCTTTCAAAAAGGTTTGTAGAAATGGACACTTTACTAAAGATTCTATTGCTTTAGGTTTTTTGTCACATTTCTTTACTATATTCCAGGGCTTGTATTTCCTTGATAGAGGGTTGCTGCTCACAAGGAAGCTATTAAACCAAGAATTAAAATTTGTGAAGATGAAATCATCCCTTCCTAAATTTTACGGACGCCATCACGAGTTGGTTGACCGTTATGAAATAAGATGACATATCTGGACTTGCACATATAAATTGACAGTAAGAGTCAATAGAAAACTAATCTTTAAGACAAAACAGAATATATTAATTGTGAACAATCTATTTCTATGTTCTAGCAGCACCTGTATAATATGTGCATCACATATCATCCAATTGATACGATATGGCAGAACATGCGTTTCTTAACATGATAGATATACAGTTGCTGCTTACAGGGAAGTTATTGAACCAAGTGTTTTAAATGTAAGATTTTACAGTCGCCATCATGATTTCATGGACCGAATTGAATATCTGTGTCACAGATTACCACGGATATGTTCAATTTTCGTAGGCACACTCCATACCTCTTTTAATCAATGGAGACACCACCGAATGCCATGTGCAACATGGCGACGGGTTCAAAAAATAGAGCCGGCAATGGTCACCTTTGCAGAACTGCATTTTCCTTGCTTGTTTTGAAAGGTATTACTTTGGCTATTGCATAAGTTTTGACTTCTGTATATATGCTATTTCTTTTTCAGTGTCCGTGTCTATATTTTGTCCTTAAAAACCCGTGTTTTCATATCAACCTTTCATATTCGACCAATTTTCTGGGTTGGAAAATTCACAAGATCGATTATTCGTAAATTCAGTGATATTTTAGGGGAAGACAAAAGACAGTTTTTTTTTTATTCAATTGAAACTTTTTAAAGTATAGCAGTGGCGACTCAAATTTTATTTCGAATCTGGAATAATACTAGTGGCTCCAAGGAGATTGTATCGCGAACTGATATTTTTTGCATAAAACTGATACAATGCAACAGTTGTATTTGTGTAGAACAGGAACTAGTGAGGGCAAAAATCTTGTCTTGCTGCTAATTTTTGCCTATACATTATAGTTTCAAGATAATTTCAAAAATTGTAAAAAAATGGTTAAAACTGTTATGAAGCGGAACAACTTCCGTAAGGAGTCGATTGACGACTTCATTCATATTGACTTATTTGTAGACTGCAATCTTATTTTGTTGATCATTTTTATTGTGCACAGTTTCGCTCTATCTACAAATAGTTTCACCAAAAAGAAAAAAAAACAATGTAATTAAAGAACAGCTAGTGTTCCAATGTCCCCCGCGTTGCACATATTTTAATATTTCCAAGGGGCATAATCTTTTTAAAAAGTCGATCGTCCACCATTATAGAACTTGTACGAGATATTGCTGGTATTAACATATAGTATAAGTTTTTTAAAAATCTGGCAAGAATTGTACCCGTGAGAGCGCTAACGAGGCCATTTTCCATAAATTTAATATTTCCAAGGGGCATAACTCTTTTAAAAAAAGTCGATCGGCCACCATTATAGAACTTGTCCGAGATATTGCTGATATTAAGCTATAGTATAAGTTTTATAAAATTCTGGCAAGAATTGTACCCGTGAGAGCACTAACGAGGCCATTTTCCATAAATTTAATATTTCCAAGGGGCATAACTCTTTAAAAAAAAGTCGATCGGCCACCATTATAGAACTTGTACGCGATATTGCTGATATTAACCTATAGAATAAGTTTTATAAAAATCTGGCAAGAAATGTACCCGTGAGAGTGCTAACGAGGCCATTTTCAATAAATTTAATATTTCCAAGGGCATAACTCTTTTAAAAAAGTCGATTGGCCACCATAATAGAACTTGTCCAAGATATTGCTGATATTAACCTATAGTATAAGTTTTATAAAAATTTGGCAAGAAATGTACCCGTGAGAGCGCTAACGAGGCCATTTTAAATTTAATATTTCCAAGGGGCATAACTCTTTTAAAAAAAGTCGATCGGCCACCATTATAGTTCTTGTCCGAGATATTGCTGATATTAACCTATAGTATAAGTTTTATAAAAATCTGATAAGAATTGTACCTGTGAGAGCGCGAACAAGACCGGACGGACGGACGGACGCCCGGTATTCCCATGTCCCCCGAACGCGGGGGACAAAAAAAAACTTCACTAAAGGGCAATAACCCCTATGACGAATCGACTGGAATGAAGGTATGGTGCTAATGAGTAAAGAATATTCACAAAAATCATATACATGTAATAATAGTAAGTCTTTTATTCAAAAGCAATCCAGCTTATAGAATTTACATAAACAAATATAATACATGTACCTACATGTTTTCAGATTACATGTACTCTTAAATAAAATGAAAATTTGTTTTTCAGTATTGTATTGACATAAAAGTTGTAAATTTGCATTTATTATATCTTGCTCTGAAAATATCTGTCATTATTCAGTACTTGCAATTTCTTCACTAGCATAACTTATCAACGTATTTTATAGGAATAACACGACGGGTGTCACTAGTGGAGAAGAATCTGCTTACCCTTCCGGAGCACCCCCAGTTTTTGGTGGGGTTCGCGTTGCTCAGTCTTTAATTTTCTATGTTGTGTTTTGTGTACTGTTGTTTGTCTGTTAGTCTCTTTTCTTTTTTAGCCATGGCGTTGTCAGTTTATTTTCGACCTATGAGTTTTAGCAGTTATTATTTTTTGTTCAGCTAATTAAATTTAGGAATGATTGGTTATTCAATGAGAAATTTAATGTTTCCTATTGAATAAACTCCACAGAGAATAATAGCTATTGTAATTTTCAATTGGACAGTTCAACTTGGGAAAAAAAATAAATAGTCTGTCAAAGACCAACTGACCCGGGGAAAGGTTTTATTTCTTTCGCAATATCATTGTAGAAAAACTATGGACTAATAAGTAATATTGCCTTTATTGTCGACTTCCGGAAAACGTCCAAATCTTTTGAAGTGTTTTCGACAAAGAAAACTTTGACGGACTTTTGTGTAATAGAATCTCTCCTTCTTCTTCAGATATACATAGCATTTAAAACTTCGAACTGATGCAGCGTTGAGCATGTGATTAAAACTATTCAAAGAGGAAAGTGAACCAAAAATATAAAAAAAAAACTAACGGCTTACGCTAAAACAAAAACAAGCAAGTGAGTTTTAAAAAATTACTTCAATTGGTGATAGTTACATATGTACGTGATCAAGGTACGGGGGGGTCTCAACATTGGATTTTGGGTACAGTTGTGCAGCTGGGATTTAACCCCCCCCCCCCCCCCATTCATATATTGAATAATTGTGAAATCCCTACCTATACATATATTTATCAGCTCAAATAGTACCTAAATATATCACAATTGGTCAATTACTACCTATTGATATATTTCCTCGGTAAAATTGCACCCCATTGATATATCTGACGTATCTTAAAAGGGACCCATTCCAGCGGCACATATGTATATACCATCATATAGGAAGAGACCCCCCCCCCCCCCCCCCCCCCCCCGGATCAAGGCTATAAGTGATCAAAACTATTATTTATACATTTAGATTGTTAGATAACAGTTTCTGTCAATCGTGTGCGGATGGGGAATATAGAGGGCTTATCGGTCAGTTTTATAACACTTGTTTTCGTATTTATGAGTTTCCGTCGCTTGTTGTTTATTCACCGAAGGCTGTGATTATAAATGGGCATTTTATGTGGTATATTTGACTCTATTGGTGTAAGTCAAATTTGAAGATGTTCCATAGTGCGTCTCCGTCACTTGTGTATTCATAGTGTCAAATGTTGTAATCTCATCTTGAGTAGATTTACCAAATGATTAATGCAATGTTTACAAAACAAAAACACATGATAAAAGTGATAAAAAAATAAACCGCTCAATAAACAGAACGACTTCCAGTAAAGCTAAAAGAATATTTTTCTGGACAAAAACTGTTATCGTGTTATTTCAAATTTGCTTCTGTAAAATGAAAAAACACAGAAGCTATAGTAAAATACCAAATGTAGTCATTCTGTGAGAAGTTTATCAGAACCAATTTACTCTTTGTAAACCTTGAATTTCTGACTGTGACATATGACAACATGTCTTCATTTCTTTGGATTCTCGTAACATAATCGTATAGATAATCTTTAAGATATCTATAAATAAGTAATAATTTAATATGCCAGATATAAATAAATAAGTAATAATATAATAATAATCATATATTCATGTACAAATGTTAAGGGACAAACAAAAATGACTTACACGGCTAACCTGAAGTCATTCATTCGCAACAAAATCACATTCATTTTATGCAAACCTTTATTTTGTTACTTAGTAAATAAATTGAATTATGACATTAATAAGCCAAACATTTTCATGATACAATTGTTGGCTTACAAACTATTTCTTTATTTGAAATAAAGATAAACTCAGTCAATTTCTTTTTAAATGACAATTTCAAAAATACTAATAGGGGTAAACAATGATAGTTATTATCCCTATCAATGGACTTTTTTAAAACCAGAAGTATCTTATTATCTCCCTTATTTCGTAGAAGAAACTACAAACTACATTTTTAGGAGTTTGTGCGATGATAGTCTCTTTTCTGACAGCGGAAGTTTTATTTTTACAAAGTGTACTTTTTTTCTTCCTCGTTGTAATTAAAAAAATATATTTTGTATATATTTTTAAAAAATCATTTAAAGCTTAAAATCTACATGTGTGGTGAAAAGACCTATGATATGATTTTGTAATTTTACATAACATTTGTTCATATTGTTGTACGAAATTGACTATATTTTCCGGAAAATTTTGGTAAATTAGTAAAAAATTGTCCATTTGTTCCCTATATCAAATATTAATTTCGCAATCCATCAAATGTTGAGGATGTATTCTATTATTTCTGTAGCCATTCAGTAGTCACTTACAGTACCATTATTACAGAAATTCAAATAATAATTAATTTTTTTTGATATGAAGTCTTTGGACTTGTATGTATAACATATTCATTTTTTGAAACATAAAGTCTGGCGTGATGTAGGGGTCTGTCAGGTCTTACTACATATACCAAGAGAAACGTGTGGATAACTTTTAAGACAATTAAGTTCATATTGATATACAAGTGGTTTAGGATAACCAGAGACGTATACATGTCTCGGGGATAACAAGGGCTCTTTTAGCAGCTTTGACGGAATATGACACATACTAAAGGATGATCCTTTTACCTAGGTGAGCTTGCAATTATAATTACATTTTAACAGTAAAATAAACTACCGGGTATTACATAAAAAGTGTTTAAAATATAAAATAATAAGTGTTATAAACATTTCATCTGAACAAATAAGAGGAAATTAAATATTCTCTGATCCTCAACTTTAATCTTTCAGAAAATGAATAACAGTATTAACATGTCATTTGTCTGAAGTAACGCCTTTGCTGGCCAATTCATCCTTTACACGCATCAGGTATTCAGGATCAGGATACCCAAACCTACAAAAAAGCAACATAGAATATGAAAATTTAAGTGGTATTTTCAAAGGGATACTGTTTAAATGCGTGAATAAACAGTGCAATTTTTAAAAAAATCTTCTACTAAAAACTAGAGGCTCTAAAGAGCCTATGTCGCTCACTGCATCTTCAACAATGGCAACCTTTTAGTAAAAATCATCATTAAAGCTGAATAACTCTAACAAGATTGACTAACAATTTCAGTCATCTTGGCATATTTGTATATCTTATCCGGCTGATAATTTTTCCTATCTAAAGTTTCTATTTATCTATTATAGTTTTCAAGATAATACGCAAAAATGCAAAAAAATGTTAAAAATTATCTTTAAAGGGCAATAACTCCAATAATGAGTTCTCTGAAGATTTCGGCCATTATGTCTTATTTGTGGATCATATCTTGCTGATCACTTGTGCTATTTAAAGTTTCTATCTATCTATTAGAGTTTTCGAGATAATATGCAATTAAATGCTCCGCTGAGCGTAGCTTGATACGACCGCAGAGGTCGAACCCTGAACAGTTGGGGCAAGTATGGACACAACCTTCAAGTTTGATACAGCTCTGAATTTGGATTGGGATTAAATATTTGACACAGCATAGGTTTCTGACACAGAATGAATGTGGTCTAAGAACTTAATTTTTTTTAATTTACCTACTATGGCCCAATATCCAAAATCTAAACACGTGGTTAGATTCAGCATATCAAAGAATCCAAAGAATTCAATTTTTTATGAAATCAAACAAAAAAAAAAAGTTTAATTTTGGACCCTTTTGACCTCAATGTGGACCAATTTGATAACGGGGCCCAAAAATCAAAATACATGGTTAGATTCAGCATATCAAAGAACCCCATATATTCAATTTTTGTTGAAATCAAACAAAGTTTAATTTTGGACCCCAACTTGGACCAACTTGAAAACTGGGCCCATAATCAAAAATCTAAACACATGTTTAGATTCAGCATATCAAAGAACCCCAAGAATTCAATTTTTGTTAAAATCAAACTATGTTTAATTTTGGACCCTTTGGAGCTTAATGTAGACCAATTTAAAAAACGGGACCCAAAATTAAAAATCTAAATACACAGTTAGATTTGGCATATCAAAGAACCCCAATAATTCAATTTTTGATGAAATAAAACAAAGTTTAATTTTGGACCCTTTTGACCTCCATATGACCCAATTTGATAACGGGGCCCACAAATAAAAAATCTAAATACATGGTTAGATTCAGCATATCAAAGAACCCCCATATATTCAATTTTTGTTGAAATCAAACAAAGTTTAATTTTGGACCCCAATTTGGACCAACTTGAAAAATGGGCCCGAAATCAAAAATCTAAATACATGTTTAGATTCAGCATATCAAAGAACCCCATATATTCAATTTTTGTTAAAATCAAACTAAGTTTAATTTTGGACCCTTTGGACCATAATGTAGACCAATTTGAAAACTGGATCCAAAATTAAAAATCTAAATACACGGTCAGATTTGGCATAACAAATAAATAAATGTGGTCAAAGATTTTACAAATCTAATGCGCCATACTGTGCAATTAAAGATTACTTCTTGAAATTTTTCAATATTTGAAATTTGAAAAAAAAAACATTTAATTTTTCTGAAATCTGAAATGAGAAAACTTTTTAGCCCCCCCGCCCCTTTTTCCTCAAAAAAATTCTTTCCCTCAAGATATGGTCATAATCTCAATTCAAATTTCCAATGGAATTTGCAACCATAATAACCCATTTAAATTTACCATAGTGCTAACTTAATCTATTTTATAATAGAATTTAAAATATGGTGTCAAATCTTTCATATGGATTTTTTTGTAAAAAAAAAAAAAAGATGCAACATTTGCAGATATTTTTACTGGTCTTCCTTTATAAATATGCATTTCTTTAAACATGATTTAAAAGCAGTGTAAGGGAAGTAATCAAAACGTTGTATGTGGATTACCTCCCTTACACTGTTTTAAATTGTCTTAATTGTTCATTAACCATTACTTTATACATAATTTAAAAGCAGTGTAAGGGAGGTAATTCAAATGATGTATTTGATTTATCTCCCTTACACTGCTTTAAATTATGTTTTGTACTAAAGTATTTGTCCATATAAAAATGCTTGTTTTTTGCCCCTTTTTTTGCCCCTAATTCCTAAAATTTTGAGCAATTACCCCCAAAATCAATCCCAGCATTCCCTTTGTGATATGGAACCTTGTGGTACAATGTCAGAGAGATCCATACACTAACACACAAGTTATGTCTGAAAGTTACAAAAATGCTTATTTTTGGCCCCTTTTTGGTCCCTAATTCCTTAACTGTTGGTACCATAACCCCCAAAATCAATCCCAACCTTCCTTTTGTGGTATTGAACCTTATGGTAAAATTTGATAGAGATCCATTCACTTAAACTAAAGTTAGAGTGCAAAAACCAATGTGTCTTCGGACGACGACGACGACGACGACGACGACGCCAACGTCATACCAATATACGATCGCAAATGTTTTTTTGCGGTCGTATAAAAACTGCATTTTACCCCTATGTTCTATTTTTATCCATTGCGGCCATGTTTTTTGACGAAACAGAAAACACAAACTTTATACTAGATACCCTAAGGATCATTCAGATTAAGTTTGGTTGAAATTGGTTCATTAGTTTCAGAGAAGAAGATCTTTGAAATAGTTTACACCGGACGGACAACGGACGACGACGAACGCCAAGTGATGGCAAAAGCTCACATTTCATTTTCTTTTAGGAAAGGTGAGCTAAAAACGAGAAATAGATTTAAGAAACACTTCTAAAATATAAAAAAAAACTTAAGTGATTATAAAATACTAATGGATTTTAAGTTTCTAGGTTTTTTTTTTTATCATAGACAAGATTTTGTAGAGAGCATTTGCCATTGAACCCCTTTAACCCCACCCAAATCCCAAACTAGAGGTTCTTAAGAGCCTGTGTCGCCATATTTTTCAATTCCTTCTGATGAACCTTAAGGGCAATAAATAATATAAAGAATCGACTAACAATTTCAGTTCTGCGGACCTACTTGTAGATATTGTCTTGCTGATCATTTTTGCTTTTTAAAGTTTCTAAAACTACTATAATTTTCGTCAAAATGCAAAAATGATAAACTCATCATTTAAGGAGTCGACTGACAATTTCGGCTATGTTGACAAATTGTAGATCTTGTCAAGCTGATCATTTTTGTTATTTAAAGTTTGTTTCTTTTTATCTATTATGATTTTCAAGATAATAAGCAAAAACACCAACAATTGATTAAATCGTCACCTAAAGGAAATAACTCTTAGAAGTCAAATGACAATTTCAAACATGCGGACAAATTTGAAGATTATTTTTTGCATTTTATTCTAATATTATTGTTTTCAATATAAAAGGCAATTTTTTTAAAATAAAAAAAACAAAATGGTAAAAATCGTCCTTAAAGAGCAATAACTCCTATAAGGAGTCGTCTGACACTTTTTGTGTAAATGGAATCATCCATTGTTTAATTTGTTTTACCATAATGACGATTGTGGCCGCGTTGGTTCCGATTGGCCAAGAGAAGAAGATTTTGTAAGAGTTAACGGACGACGGGCGCCAAGCGATAAGAATAGATCAACTTGGCACTTTGGACCAGGTGAGCTAAACAGGTTAGAGGCGCACTGTTTCACATGGAAAAATAAAATTTCATGATGGACAAGATGAAAAACAGACAGAAACACAGGGCAGACATGCATTTGTTTACGTTAGGCTGACGTAAAAAGACAGCAAAAATCTGAAAAGGACTGTCCCTCATTATTTTTATATTGTAATCAAAATTTTTAATGTTTCATAGAAGTCTATGGAAATTTAAAGGATACCCTTTACTACCTTTGTAAATGATTTAAATTAAACAAAAATGTGTTCCTATATAATTAAATGGTCTTTTGAAAAATCTGTTTGCAAATTTATTTGCTGCAACTCATATAAAGCCTTCTGTAATGAAAAAGATAAATATACTAGATAAACTTACTGGAAGTGTGACGAAATCATTAAAGCTGTAAATTTTCTCCTTGACATCATCTATGTATGTTTCGGCAATACAATTTTTTCGACAGATAGTAGGTATTCCTATAGGCACCAATTGCGCCCCTTTAATAGCAGACTTGTTCCTGTATTGCTATGAATCCCAGTTTATGCCCAAACTCAGTAAAGATTCTAAATTACATTTGATTGATAAATTAAACAACACTTACCGCTATCTTGATGATATTTGTTTTGTTGAATAATCAAGAACTTGCTTTAAATAAATCTAATACAAACAACAATAACTGTCTTTTACTAGATTTAGATATTTCAGTTTCAGACGGTAAAATCTAGTCAAAAATTTTACGACAAAAGGGACAAATTTGCGTCCTCTATTGTTACTTTCCTTTTAAGACGGTGATGTTTCTTTTGTCCCATCTTACGGTGTTTATATATCCCCAAACTCGCTTGTTATGCCCGTTTCTGTAGTGACGATTTAGATTTTTAGAACGTAATTTATGTATCACTGGTAAATTATTAAGTCAGGGATTTCCGTTACCACAAATTACTTAAAACGTTTTCTTAATTCTTCCATACAAAGATATGGTTTGGAAGTTTAGTTGTACCTGTAGAAAACTTGTTACAAACGGGATATCACATCCTAAATTTTTAGGTGATGTTATTTATAGAGCCCGTAAACTTAGATACAATCCGTGTAACCTTATCAATCCTTTAAATTTACTAACTCTAAAAGGCCATCTATTTTAAAACTGTTTAAATATCTTTGAATATTGTTTTTCGGTACAAACATTGATTTTGTTATCAGTAAATTAAAACAGAACTGAATAATAGTATTGCTATTTCGCCATGAACATTTACTGTCCTACATTCTGTCGATACCTATATTTTGGCATTGCGCAAGATCATGTTTTTATTATCTGTTTGCTAATGACGTCTTAACACTAAACCCATTGAATAT